TTTTGTAATGAGGAATAAGATGAGATAACTGTTTTATTATCGTAGCAACTTGAATCCTTGGATCTTTTTAAGAGGTCCATGCTCAATTCTAGATATTTTTGAATATCTAGCAATATTCATAAACTACTTATCTGTTTGGAGCCAGAAGGATGTTAACTCATATACCATAATATAGAGTTAACACCCTTCTGGCTCTGAACAGAAATATACATTTTCCCTTTGTAATCATTTTTCTAAAGGATGATAAAAGGGATGGAACTAGAAATGCAATCGTGTCACAACGATGTGCGTGCAATGACGCCATGTTTCTACGTGTCAAACGAAAGAGCTTCTCTCGGACTATCCAGAGCAATTTGTACGAAGTCTGTAGCTTCTGTGATATTGGAGATAGGTAGGGCGAAAGAAAGGCCTCAACAGTGACCTTGATGGGATGGTAGTGACTATGCCTACGAAGTGTGAAATAAATTGGGATAGGGAAAAGAACCTAGAAAGGGCTCGCAAGCACTGCGTGCAAAAACCAATGGGATTTGGTGTATGTTCGTCATTGCAATCAAGATCGTTCTGGGGGCTAATAGCGTGAACCAGATATGCCCCATAGACAATGCGTGTAATGCATGGGCGGAAAACGTACAGGATCTGTATTATGACCGGAGTTAAGTTGTTTTTTCTCTCTCTCTTTATGTCTCTTTATGGGCCGTATTTGATATCATTAGAAAGAGAATTTCATGGTTGTTATTGTAAACTACTCTCTTTTTTTCTTTGATAATCCTATCGAAACACGTGATGTAAAATAGATTTATAGTACAAAATGGCGTCTTAAATGGCCCCCTTGACCAAATTAAAAAATCCGGCCACGAGGTGCCCTGCGTATTGGAACTCGGCATGTCACTGCAAATTTTCAAGGGAAAAAAAGGTCGTTTAAGGGGCGAAAAGCAGTCTGAAAAAATGATGTCTTAGCCGATACGTGTTAGATTCGGGCGGAAAGTCGGCGGAATTTGTATAGTGACCTTTGTTCAAATGCGATTTACTCACAATTTTCTGTGTGAACATATACTATACTTGGTATCATTTGAAAGGGCACTTCATTGCAGTCAGTTTGACACACTGTTATCTGCGCGCAATGTATTGCAAGCATTAAACGCGCTATTACGTAATGCATAGTAAATTCATCATTTTTTGCGATAACTTTGCGCTGACATATTTGAATGATACCAAACTTGGCAAACGTATATGGATACATATGTCTGCCAAGTTTCATTGATGTACGTATAAAGATCGCCATTTTAGAAATGGCGAATTTGGAGGGCATTTTTCTGATAGTCCGTCAGTGTTAGGGTATATAATTTTGTATATGGCTGGAAAGGGCATATCTTCAAGTATCTAAATCCAAAAAAGGGTACGGGTCTGCCAAGCCATAATGGAGATACAGCCACAGAAAGAAAACCAATTCCCAGAACTTTAGAGGGCGCTATTTATGTTTTGCAAAGCCATTGGAGCATTGGCTATGTTCAATTATAAGATAAAGATACTGTAAGATTTAAATACAAAACGGAATTTATATGAGAAAGTTATGGCAGTTTTAGATTATTTAGGGGTCAATTTTTCAAGAATTTGAGAGATTTTTGACGGAGTCGGTTTCAGATTTGAATTTTGAGTATGAAGATGGTATTTTGAAGGGCAGGTTATACATCGCATATTAAAGAACATCTCTCAGACTATCTAGAGTAATTTGTTAAAAGTTTGTAGGATCTAGGATAGTGGAGATAGGAAGGAAGATAGAAAGGCCTTAACCCTAATAAGGCCGGGCTATTTGAAGTCTTACTACGGCCGGGGGGGGGGGGGGGGGGGGCATTATGGCCCCCCCCCTAAGATCTCCGCGAAAATTTGCACACATGTCAAGTGAAGTGTTTAGAACAATATGATAATTTCAATTTTTGAAAAAAACCCTCATTTGCATATTTATGGTAATTTATGCCGATCTCCGCGAAAATTTGCACACATGTCAAGTGAAGTGTTTAGAACAATATGATAATTTCAATTTTTTGAAAAAAACCCTCATTTGCATATTTATGGTAATTTATGCAAATAACGTCATAAAATCACATTTTTACCCATAAATCCTATATTATTCATATTTAAGCATTCTTTTTCACTACATATATTCATTAGACCATTTGAAACAATAATACGACAAAAAAAATTGGAAGAGCCATCTTATTCCTTATGTTATCTCTTGTTTTGATAATTTCTTATGTATTTCATTGTTTTTTTAACCTATTTACGTTATTGTTTTTTGTTTTTTTTTTCATTTCTTCCTACAATTCAACTATTTTGACTCCCAAAACAACCACCTAAACTTTAAACAAGACCCAATAACAAATGTTTGATCTATTTTTAGGAAAAAATGACATTTCCATATGTTTTGTACACAAATCACAAAAATGAGCGATTTTCGGGCTGACATGCAAAGACGAAAGGTCACGTGACCTTGTAACTATAGGTCTGATTTTTTTTTTTTTTTTTTAAAGATGCGCAAGACTCTAAAGAAAAAAGTCAGCGAGCGGCGAGGCGCCATCCATATGCGTTCTCGAACAATCAGAAAAATTGTGGAGGGGGGGCCATAATGGCCCCCCCCCCGGCCTTATTAGGGTTAAAATGGACCAGAAACGGACAAAATGGCGCCTGGACGTTTACACATGAGTGATTTCGAAAATCAAAGAATGTAGTGACCTTGATGAGATGTTAGAGACTATGCCTTTGAAATTTGAAAGGAAACGGATATGAGGAAAGGGCATAATTAGTGATAACAAGCACTACGTGCTAAGCGAATGGGATTTCTGGACGATAAGATGAACTAAGAATATTAATAATGTGAACGAAAACAAGGCAATGACGAAGGTCGTCATTGCAATAATACATGTAAAGAATATTTTGACATCTGCCCGCAAGAAAGCCATAAGCGCTAGTAATGTCAATGACAGTAATCATTTTGATGACCTTCTTGCCCGAAGCTGAAGATTGAGTTTTTCTTTTTCTTTGTTCCTATAGTGTTGATCTTATGTTTTAATTAAATGATTTTTTTTTAATAAACAGTAGAATGAGAAATTTATTTAGGAATTAAAATCAATAATTAATTGTCCCAAACTCCTAATTCAATAACTTTTGTATGTATTTAGGACAGGTCATTTAAGTTTTAGACCATAAAACTTGACATTTTCCCATGCTTGCTGCATGGACAAATTTCATAATTGAGTAAACAAGATAATGAGAAGTCATTCACATGATTAAACTTTTTGAACAAAGAAAGGGGGAGTTATGAATTTTATGTCATAACTTCACTATGATAATTCCAAGTCAGGTAACATACAATGTGTACAGATATCTTTTATCATGTTTTTTTCATTAAAGTAGCATTTGTGTTGATATTTTTTCTGTTGATATAATCTTATGCCTCAGATTTAGAAGTATTTCGACAAACTGATTCAATGCCCATTCAAAATCTAAGATTGAGGTATGATGGATGTAATATTTCATGTGAATTGTATGAAACAAGACTTAAATCTTTTGCTTATTTTTCAAACCTCGCTGAAGACTTAGGCAGGGAGCCAATCCTGTTAAAGGTTTCAATATTGATGTTTTCTTTACATCAAATAATCTGCTAATGATCTTTCATATATACTATACAAGCCTGTGTATGGACCAAATCTACTTTTGTGAGGCGTTATAGATTATGGTGGTAAACAACATGAGCTCACAAACATGTTTATGAAGCTCTCCCTGATAGGATCTTTGATGTGGAACAATAGAGATGATCAAAGGTGTGCCAATCCCAGCCAGAAGGCCAGGCCATTGACCAATGGCTGGATGGACGGTGGTATTGATCAGGTCCTGTTCAAGACCAATATCCCTAGATTGCGGGGAAACTCAAAAATCTATTACCTCCAGGGCACATGGTCCTTGGTAAACTACCATCTGTTGACTGACAGAGGGGCGTTAGCTCTGGGTTACGGTATATGAGTTTACGCCCTTCTGGCTCCAAACAGACACTATAGTTTCTTCAGAAAGTGATGATGATTATTTAGTTACGGTATCGGTAGATAGTGTTTTAAGTTAAAGGTAAACCCCAGTATTGGAAACGCCCCAATTTCAAAAAATGAAATGGAAGCTCTTATTACTAATCATGTGAAAGAGTATGTTTTGACTAATACATGATGATAAACATTTTGCCGGGAAACTGCCTACTAATTGATATATTTGGTAAATTAGTTTATCTATTGGTGTGTCAGAGATAAACGCACGTGTCGTGCACGTGTGCATAGTCCCATATACATCTTTCTGTGTACAGTGCTTGTAACTTTACGAAGACTGGGCTAAATTTCTTATCATTTTGATGATTCCAGAACCTGCAGTACTCACCAATACTTATATGCTAGATGATCAACCTTTTCTGATCGATTCCACAACGTTTCTTTCACAATGCAATCGCATGACTATAACTGGTCTTTATCTTTAAAGTGTCTTATTGGCTAAAGCAGGAATATTCATAATGAAGATAGTTTATACTGTAGATACCTTATACCAGGTTTAAAAATAGTATTTAATGTAGTAGTAATGTTATGCATTACAACCCATTTCCAGAATTCCTGGCATTTGATTTCTGTCATCGTGACTCTCTTTAGAATTCGGTGCCAAATTGGCCAAGTTAGGCTAAGCCCCATTTATTTTTCTTTTATTGCCACACATGTTTACAAAGTAGTTTTGCTTGTTAGAATTCTCTTTCCATGTTTACAGTATAGAGAAATAAAATGCCTTTATTGCGTAGCTCTCACATTCAAACTTGAATAGGTTTTTATTTAAGACGATGTTCTTTTTAGGAAAAAAAAAAAGGATTTTAATTTTTTTAATAAATATTTTAAGTACTTCTTCTTTTTTTCTTTTAGGGATACCTATGTAATGCTGTTGCAATTCATTATATTTATTCATTTTACTCATGAATGGAGACTCTTATTCAAAGTAATTTCAAGGTTAATTTTATTCATGAAAATGTTCAGGTCTGAAAGGACATATTGAATTTCTCATGTCATTTGCATTCACACAGTAGGCTAGTTTGTTTTCAAACACAAACCGTTTGAAGTACAAATGAGGCATGATGAAAGTGATCCCTCATTCTATTCTTCCCTGTTTGCATGATGTCTTCTTATTTTTAGAATGGACTGTCTCTTTTTGAAGGGAGGCAAGGAGAAGTTTGAAGGAGAGAGAGAGAGGGGGGAACTGTGTTTTTGGAGCAAACACGGTCATGTAATCCAGTCTTTGGCTTGTGGGCGTTTCATTGTGGTCCAAGATGGTAAATTGGTGAGCAGTGGAGCGAGGAGCACCAATCGGGTATTGTTAGAGCCATTGTGCTAGCTGATGGGGCCTACGGTTTCTCACCCCTTCAGACTATTGGCTCCCTGATTATTAACCTCAAACGTGTTTGTCTTTTGGCTGCACTTCCTGGCGAGTGTGTAGGAAACCCTCTTCTCTATTTTTACCCACTCTCACAATTTTATTTCAATTTACTGTGGTGCTCGATCCAGCTCCTTGAATTGGTATTCTTGGTATTGTGTAGATAGAGAAAGTGTTTTTCGTCTCCTTCGCTACTGGATCATTGACTAGTTGCATGTTTGTTCTACAGTTCACCAATGGTACCACTGCTCATTTATATCTACAACTTCTATACAACGACAGAAGTCTATTAGGCTCTGGTGATAATTTCACTATGTTTCTCTTTTTTGTCATTTGATGCCACATTTTAATTTGTTTTATAAAGCACAGTGATCATAAGGAATATCCATTAGCTTCATCACCAGGATGTTTTACCAGGTAAAAGACCTTAGTAGTCACTTACCACCGAGCAATCTATGAGGCGCGATGAACACTTTGTATTATCTCATCATCATCATCATCATCATCTGATATTTGGCTAATTTCTTCTGCAGTGCTTGTCCTAGCTGGCTAGTGTTGGATTATGTATTCGCTCATTTTGAGATCATCGATCCTTGATGTGCAGTGATTCACGCCTGCTTAGATTAAAGCTGAATCTAATGAGATATAACCGGATATTGCATGTATGCCGACGTGTCTATGGTGTCTTCTGTTTTACCCACTTCGAGTTCCGCATGTTCGTGTGTGCTCTCTCTCTCTCCCCACACACATTTTTTACCTCCCTAGCTGCGCTCTTGTGGCGTAATCAAGCCGAATGCTACAGTACTCCTATAGCCTCTCCATTCTTCCCTCAACCCCTCTTTCCAGCGGACTGGATTCCCTGCTATGCATTCAACCGTTCAACAATCAGCAATCATGAGGCATCCGTCATAGAACACCCTTCCAAAATGATTAGAATTGATTTGGAGCCAGCCAGCCAGCTAGGAGCTAGCTCTCCCATGATGGATATATATGCAGCTTGAATCATCACCTCTTAATTGAGGGCTATTATTTTGAGCGAATTCATCGATCATGAAAGATTTTGTGTTGCAGTGAAGGAAGGAGTTGATGAAATTAATTTAGTTTATTCAAAGTTATGGATTGACATCAGAGCCTCTCTTCTGACCACCGAAGTAATACCGAAGACTGATCGTATCTCATTTACACTTGAGTCATGGTCAATAAATATTGTGCAAACAGGGATCCTATACGAGGAAATTATTAAAACGGCACAAATTAATGCATTAACGATCACTTAGGTTTGCATGTTGGTTTTTTTAAGCGCAATTGGACGCTTGTGTGCGTGCTCATTCATTACAAAGTTGTTTACACTGGTCAGTTATTGATCTGTTAAGACAGGACAAAGGAGTTGCAACACAACAACAGATGTAAAATCAATGCTATCATCGGACAGAGCTGGTAAACATCCAAGTGTTCTGAGATACCACCTTTTAACCTCCCATTCTATTTTTGCCCTTCGTCATGGAAGCTACATTCATTCATCTCTTATGGTGTGGATTTGTGAAATAGCACAACTTTGTGTGATTATCGATCAGCAGTATTGTTTTTATTCCATTTTTTTGGATTTGCATGGTCTTTAAATTTTCATCTGGAGTTCATGCAGAATTGGAGTACAAGCAGAATTGACCTTTTAATTTCAATGTAGGATTTGTGGGTACATTTTGTTTTTGTTCTTTGTCTCATGTGCTGATGAAACAACATTTTAGAATATAATTTCTGAGCCTTTTGAAGGAAAATTATTCTGAAGTTAACATCTGATTTGTGATATATCGTCGCTGTTTTCACGAAGTGACGGTAGTGAAAAAAAATTGCATTCACTTTGCGTTACGATTTTCCTCACTACCGTCACTTCGTGAAAACAAGGACGATATGAGCAATGCGCTCATTTTTGTATGATTGGAGAAGCTGTAATGGCGGGAAACCTGATTTGGCATAAATATTGTGGATTATTGGAATATTGTCAGTTTTGCTCCTCCTTGGCTACAAATGAGATTTCTGTCGCCCATTAGCCATCAGCCACGCACGGAACACGGTAACTCGTCATTTCTTCTGACATCTCAGCATCTTGATCTTTGATCTCTACCTCTCTGCAAGCACTCGTAAAAAGGACTCCATTTCTTGGCAGCTCAATCCCCAATATCCATCATTTCATATCCTCGGAATTAAACGCAGACCGTTTGAAGCTTCGCATCAATTCTTCTTCGTATCAACAGTGTGCTGATTTTTGTGACACATATGAATTGGGGACCTTGCCATAATTGATAATGAGTGAGTGAGATAGAAAGAGAAAAGTAACTTGTGAGAGAGAGAGAGAGAGAGAGAGAGAAAAGAAGATGAAAGAGAGGGGACAAAAAGAGAGAGAAAGAGAAAGAGAGGGGGAGAGAGAGAGAGAGAGAGATGGAGGGAGAGCATCTTAGAGTTGAAGTGTTATCTTTGTCTGTTTGATGACCTGTGAACTGACAATCTGCCCATCCCAGGCCAGGCAGGTTAAATTTCAACCAGACAGATTGCACAAAGTTTCGCTTTTTAGCCACAAGATAAACAGGTATCATGGAAAAACAGAAGCTACGATTTCCTTCTACCGCTTAACAATAATAGAAACCTCAAAGAATCCAAGCAGAGATCATTGATTCAATGGACGATTTCCCAGCTCGATCAACACTGTGAGAAGGGATTATTTGAATTTTGAGATGGAGAAAGAGAGAGAGAGCATGAATATTTTTCATATTTCCGGCTACAGCAAGTCTAGGAAACGTGAAGACCAACAGTTTATGCATCGACCCATATTTTATGTCTCAGTGGAAAAATGTTGGGAGATTAAGTTTCATTTTGCTGCCACATTCTGAAAGATAGATGGCTGTTTGCAAATGTTTACTACAGCAGAGTTTCTCAAAATCTGAAGGTTTTGATTGATTAAAAACCTTGGAACATTCTCTTTTTCAATGTTACAATGACCATCATCAAAGAGGAGGCGGACACCTGATGAAGATCCGTGAGGTACTTTTGGAGTCGGTCTTGATGAAAGAATCCTTTGATGCTCAAATCCCACCTGGATACCCCTGGAGTTTGATTCATCCCTGATTGTGATCAAAGAAAAAAAAAATTCTCTTATTCAAATTGACATCCTTATGCTCAATTTATCCCTTTCTTGTGGAGGTGTTTGACTTCAAATTCAGGCCTAAAAAATGGATTTGAAACTATTGTTGTGGAGAGGTCATCGTTTGAAAGGATCTGCTGCTTGTGTTGCATTCGCTTAAATTTATCAATAGCCATTTCCCCTCTGTCAGTGGCTATTATCAACATCTAACCAGCGTGATTGGATTATTTCCACCGTAATTGTCTGCTGTTAAAGATGTTGATTTTATGCCAGTAGCGCTGAAATTCACACCTGGTTACATATTGTGGAAGTAATTGTTGCTTGGAGGAGGCTTTTCATTTGAAAGCTCCAGGCTGCCACTTTGGTGTCCACATATACCAACAGTTCATTCATATTTCCAGTGATTATCAAGTCTTTCACCAATTTACTTTGTGCTCAACCATCTGAGTACCTATCTAATGGCCCTCCATCATGCCTTGTTAGATTGTAACACACCAACGGACCAATTTTTCATTGGATGCTAGCCATCTTTCTCCAATACTGCTGTGCACAAATCATTCCAGTCACTTGTGAGATTTTGTGACCAATCTTCTCTTCGCAGAATACATTACAATGAGTTTAACAAAAAGGATTAAAATAATTTGTGGCTTTTTTCACCCATTTCTGCTGTATTGATTATGAACGGGACCATATGGTTGATGGTGTACTGCATTAATTGTACTCACAGGAACCATTATCGTGCTCTTCATGAAAGCTGTATTTCTGTTTCTTCAATTGATATAGAATTTCAATGAAGCATTGCTGTGTCATTATAGAGTGAGACAAACAAAAATGAGAGGAAAAAATATGTCCTTTGTGAATATCAATTGATGGCCATGACCTGTGTAATGACCTGTAATGGACACCTATAAAGTGTGAATTGACTTTATGCCATTACTGCATTAGGCATTGGTTTGCTGACCTCACAAGGGTATCATGATCTGTACAAGTGTACTATTTTTGATTTATTTGGTAAACACATGACACCATTGAGTTATCTTCTAAAATCTTGTGGCAGATTAACTGTCAGTTTAGTTTTGGGTTATGCTTCAAGTCTTGCAGTCCTCATCTATCATCTGGTCTATTGGTGTAGAAATATGAATCTACAATTTTGAAAGAAGGGATTTTACTCATTTATCAATTCTGAGCCAATGAAGGAGATCAAGCAAATGTGATTACACTGTACTGGTTTGTCTTTTTCAAGCAGCACTATTGGAGGGAGTCACCTAACCATGCTATCTCCTTTAGAGTGATGTATTGTTGAAGTTTTGCATCTAATCTATCGCTTGATCTTCTTCTTGTGGAAATATGAATCTCCAATTTTGAACTTGAATTTTCAATGTCAACAGAGAGGCTTGAATATATAAGCATCGGGTTAACTATGAAGTGATATATGAGGCAGAGCTGTGATTCTAGGGCGGCCTTTTGTGGAGTATATGAGACCCAACTGTCACCTCAAAGATTGCAATTGACCTTGTTGGATTGGCTTTGTAATGAGGAATAACCAAAGGAGACCTGATGGAGTTGAGTAAAAGTGTGAAACGTTGTTACGGCTCTCCGGAGAGAACAAGGAGAGCTGGCAGCTATGCCCCCAAGTGAACAAGATTTACAGCTGTGTCTATAAACCATTCCCTGGCATGCCTACCAGGTCTCCCAAAGCCCACCCCAACTCCGGTTTCCTAGGCCGATGATGCACACACAGCACGTTGTGCACGTTGCCGCTGTCTCAGTTTACTCCTGCGGCCGGTCTAAATGGAAATGATCACCGATTATAAATTCTGCTCTTTTACCTAAAGCTCTCTCTAAATAGCCCAGTTGCTATGTAAAAACTTCAATGTTCAACTCATGATGGCTGTGATGGGTTGCTAGGCAGTTCAGTTGATATTCAAGGTTGATTTTTTTCTTCTCCCTTTGCAAACATGAGACACCAACATCAACAATCAAGACAGTCAAAATTGAATTCACCTCATCAGGACAGCGTGAACATTTTTTTCTTCTCACTTTTCATTGAAGGAGAAAAAAAAAGTTTCTCATTAAATTGATGATATATTTTCTTTGAATGACCTATTGATATGCTGGCATCATTTGTGGGCAGCCTAATAGCGCCTTTTTGGAGGACATCCAGGTGATTTGGACAGACTTCATCTGATTTCAAGGATGAGCAGGTTGGAACACTCCATTCAACTCACTCCAATCAATGTGGAATAACTAGTATTCACAGATTTAATCTATGCTTATTAACAAAAGAGGATTTCAAGTCGCATACTGGCTCGCTGTATCGAACCGTTTGCGGCATTTAACTGTCGTCATTCTGCAGGGTCAGTGCTTGATCATTTAGTGCGGACTTTGCTGCACCAGGATTTTCTCGGTGATGAATGTGAAATTCCATGTTTTGCCTTTACTCTATCACCAGTGATCGCGTCAAAAGTCTTGACAGTGATATTGTGGCTGATTTCTTTGGTGATCATTTATTCATGTGTTAGAGATTGTCATCTGTTCATTTGGATTTGTTTAACGACTTATGTGTCCCAGGACAAATCCAATAGAAACCATACTAATATTTATATATGACCTCAATACTCATTGATGAATTCATTGCACTTTTGTTCATTTTTTAGTGAAGGCAACCTTAATACTTGATCTCTGCTGACTTTTATCATCATCCCATGTGATTGATCCTCCAAACACTTTGGAGCAAGGACTCAAACAAAACATTTGACATTGTAAACCAGCTATTGAAGCGACAGCCTAAATGGTGCCACAAACAACAAATCTGCTTGACTATGGTGCCTGCTGCTCTGTATGCGTTTCATGCTATGGAGAAAAGCTCAATGGAGCCATTATATCGTAAAAACTATTATGTCTTGTGGAAATGTTCGCTCTTTTGTGAGAGAATAATGCTCAAGTTCGTCATCAGCAAGCCAGCACCTTTTAAATGTGAGTATACTTTGACATTAATTATGTATCTTTGTACATGTGAGTAACACTTCTACTTTCAAATAATGCCTGTTTAAGAATGAAAAGCCATACTGAGAGAAAGAAGGGCAGTACCGGTATTTCATAGACATTTACATAAAATGTAATGCCCTGATGACTCTCAGCAGAAAATTTGTGTCATATGCCATAGTCTTTAAGGTATTATTAATAAACTATGGTGTTGACTTCTTACTTCTTTCTCAAGTTTCTTTATAATTTTGTTATTATTTTTGTCCTCATTTAGTCAAGAAAAAGAGATTACCTACCATTTTTCACTTTGAATTTGAGCAACTACAGCTTCAAAACAACTGCCTAAAATATGAAAAATGACTTAACGATAACTATGATGTATAACAAGATTTTCAATTTAAACATTGGACAAAGAATGGAGTTGAGATATATTCACTCTTTTATTGTCTAGATCACATTGAACTTCAGATTCCCCTGGCTTTCAACCCACGCAAACAAAAGATTTGACATTTTGACCCAATTTAAAGAAATCGCACTGACGCTTGGTGTATTTTTCTTAGTTTCCTAGGGGATTTACGCGCCAAGTTTGGAGGTTTGTTATTACTCTTGTTATAATTGTGCCACGATTACACGACATGCCGTAAGTCTAGAAGTGTCTGTCAAACATTTGTGCTTCCCCCATGGTTTTACAATAATGCAAATTTAAAAGGTCTTCTGTATTTGAGTTCTGTTTCTTATGTATTTCATAGACAATGCTCAAGGGGAAAACTTTTTTATAATATGTTAAAAAAGCGCAGAACTTTGTGCTTCCCCATGGATAATGTGAAAAAAAATCTTGCTTTTCAAGCTGGAAAAAAGAAGAAAAGAACAGATCGTCATTTTAAGGTTTTAAATTTAGCAAACAAATTAGGTTCAGAATGTTTCAACTGGATACACTATGCCTTGGGGGCTAAGATGTCATGAACTTTGGCTCCATAATTCCAATCTAGTGCATTCTCTATTCTGCTTGAATTCTTTAACCATACATTTTGTATCGGTACCTGTCTGCCTGCACGTTGGTATGTATGAGGGGCCCTTCCCGTTGACATCTGTCAGATCAGACACATTTCCTACAAAGTGGATTCTGGTGAAGTTCTACTGTCAATTGTCATGGATTGTACGTGCCGTTGAATACAGGAGATGTGGAAAGTTACTTCTCGATTCAGCCCTTTAGTGTCGAGGATTTCAATCATGGTATACCATAGCTTAGACCCAGTAAGACTGGATTGTGACCGTGAAACTTGATTACTGTTCGATTGAGGAGCAACTTAAGTGCTGTTTGCTTGTAAGAGCTGTGAATTTGAGAAGAGAGCATTTTTACAGGAAAGGATTTGAATAGGGGTCAATGGAAAGTCCATGAAATAGTCAAGATGCACCTGCAGCACTCTCAAAGAACATTTGTAGCACCATCATGCTTTTTTAGTTAGTAAAAAAAGCATACTCTTTAAAAACTAATGACAAGAATGAGGAGATGCAGATTCGGCCTTCGCACTAAAACAATTATCTAGTTGTGATTAAATTATCAGCTCCATATAAAAACCTAAGTGGTAGAAGGTGAACATAGCATCTTTAATTGAGTAAATGCTGAACTGATGCCATCCCTGCTGACATCTTCATGTTCATGGCATGAAGATGATGCCTTCCTGCCTGCCAGCCACTAGCAGCACATCCCCGTCTCAATATTCCATAAGTGTCCTGCCATCATTGATGTCCTCAGAGACCATCCCACAAAGGGGGATTAGAAGGAAATTAGGAACATGTGACATGACTAATGATGATGATTATGTTCTGCTACTACTACCCTACCTCCGCTTTCATGTAGCTATGTGTGACATGAGATGTACCTGCCATTGGAGATTGTGTTGTTGCATTCTTAATACACGCAGTAAGGCATACTATCATTGCTCTATTTCTGATAAAATATATCAGACTACCTAAATCAGAATTGTAATTGCTTAAAAGTATGAATATAGATTAACTTGTAAAATATAAAAAAATTAATTAAACAATTCAGTTATGTTAACTGTAGATTAGAAGAAACACACTTTTGAATAAAATGTTTAAAGAATTTAGTTTACCGATATATAATTATGAATGCTGTTCTGAAAGAACTTGCTCTGAAATGATTCAAAACAAATTCCTAGTATACTATTCATATGGTCATATCTTTTCTTCTTCATTTTATAAGATTATGTTTCATATCCAATTTTTTCCCTATTCTGATGAATATGAAATTGCTTTTAAGTTCTTCTTTGCTTTTTATAGGCTTGTTGATCTCAAAAGTATTTAGAGAGTTCTTCTTTTTGCAACTCCATCTTGCTTTTGTAACTTACAGATTACAATTTCTTACAAACAACCTGTTTTTCTGCTTTGCGCTTCGATTGTATCCTGTTTGTGCCATATTGATTTTTTGTTTCATACAAGACTGGATACCAAGTTGTTTTCTAGTTGCGTATGATTAACAAGCTATCTGTACTTTGTAGACTATTCAGAATCCATCTGGTAACAATACTTTAATTTTCATTTGCTATTCTTGTGCATCTGACAAAGACTGCCTCGCGACTGGCCAATTTGAAATTTGCTCCTTCCTCTGCGTTTGATAGTAATATCCGGAGAAATTCTCCCGCTTGTTACAGAGAATATTTGTTTCTAAATATGTCCTCTGTTTATTATTTGGACTCTTTTGGAGTCATGGTCTAGAGGCAAATTGTCTGTTTATATTTCTGCCACATGGAGATTCATTGATGAAAGGTTCCTCTGATTTGTAATGATTGGAAGCATCCATTTCAATCAGGCAATATGTGTGTCTTCTCACTCCACTTTGTTTATGTTAGGAAGAGATAGAAACATTAGGATTGATAATAACAGTTTCTGAGATGTGTTCCAGGTTTACATTTCCGACATTACCAAAACTGTGCAGAAGCCATTTCCTAATTAAATCAGTATATCTCTACTGAAGATCGGGCCTGATGAGTCCTGCATCAAAAGTTAAATTCTTTTGAGTATGATATTGTTAATAATATCAATCCAATTTTGACATGCACTTGTACACTGAGTAGAAACTGAGCCGTGGAAGATACATACAACTGAATGACACAATACATTTTAACTGTACTCTTTGAATTATTATTCTAGTACAAAAATAAAAAATCTTATCTTTTCTGAAAATAATAATGATTCAAATATTTTACCTTCATGAAAAAATCCCTTGTCTTCATTTGGCCTTTATGTTTGCTGTATTTCAGACTACAGTACTCTTTTGCTGCTGTTTTCAATATTTTGTTTTTCAGTTTACTAGTAGATCATCATCATCATCCACTAAAAGATAAACCAATAGTAGATTTAGCAGATCATCAACCTCCTTTGCAATAATAAATTGTTATTAAAAAAATCCTATCCCCAGGCATCCAGGAGTCTTCCAGAAATTTCCTGAGAAGGCATAATAAAAGAAAGAAATGCAGATATTGATTTGGGAGTTTTTTTAGGACCAGTCGCCACCGTATGAAATCTGCCCTGCGGGTGACAGCTGCGGGGTATGGGGACGCATAAGCTTCTTGGTAGGCAAAGAAATACTGTAATAGCTCGGCATAAAAACAAAATATAATCAATGTAATCTCACAAATCTGTGAAGGGACAGATACAGGCTCAAGATTATTTCCTGGCTCAATCAATTACTAGTGACAAATTTGCTTTCTATTGTAATTGGTATGCATTCAGAAGTGAAGTGAAAGAATGTCAATAGGTTACTTCATCTGTAGTGTAGAAACGTAAGAAAGTGTGAATTGTCTGCATCCTGTTATTTTTCTGCCAGTTCAATTCATCTGCCAAAGAAAGTCAATGGATTACTTAAAGAAAAATCAAAGAGGATGTGAAGCATGTAAGAACAACAAACTTTAGCCACTTGTTAAGTAATCACCTCCACCAACCCCCCCCCCCCCCCCAACCCATCCCTTCCTCCCACAATCTCTTTTTCTCCCACTCTCTCCCACTGTCCCCTCTTCGTTTTTCTCCCCCCCCCTCCCTCTCTCTCTCTCTCTCTCTCTCTGTGGTGTTGATTTATTGATAATAATTTTCATTTCTGAAAACAGAAAATGTAGTTTAAATGTGTGTAATATTTTGTCTTGGGAAGTGAATATAACCATGGACATACTGATGATATAACTACCTATTGTACCGAACCACCGATAATATGCCAGTTAGGTTACGACTAGAGAATCTGTTAGGGTTAGGGGTAAAAACTTTGTGTTCATCATCACCTCGGTAAATCTGTCATATTTTCTTAAACCTCCCAGTTCATAGGAACGCAGCTCAAGTGGTTTTTCTCTTGCTGTTTTAAGGTTATTTACATAAGGGACTATTTGGTATTTTCACTGCCTAGACTGAAATGACAGGTATATTTTGCTAGCATATACATGTTATTATTTCACCCATAGCTATATTAACTATTTCATTTGGGTTTTGCCGTTAGCAGTTCAGCATTGAGATTCCAATAACTGCATTGCAGTGAGAGAAACACAATACCAAGCAGGCCTTTCCCCTTTACCCCTGGCCTTTACCCCGATAGTCAAACATATAGAAGGTTTATTTATTAGTGAAGTGACATCAATACCTGTAATATTGAATTTCATGTTATGTACATAATCTGAATGTTCTTCGATAGGGAAGAATCAATATGTCTGCTTGGTCTATTGTATTGAGATATAATCACTTCTTTAGAAGATAAAAAATATATGAATGGCAGGATGAGATGACCTTGGTTTTATGATAGTTACCCACACAATGGTTATTTTTAAATGATTTTGTACAGTATCATTGTGGGATGGAATGATAATATTCAGAAGAAATACCGGTATGTAGGGTGTGGGTAGAAAATGCAACATATCATAACAATGACAGAGTGTCAGTCAGCATCAAAATGAAAAGATAAAACATGTTTTTTAAAGGAAGAAATATGAGGGAGTGGAGAGTGATGGGCTCTGGAATGCTCAGCAAAGCTCTGGAAAGAATACAAAAAATGCTCCTGAGAAGTCTTCTGCTTTTATGCAGGAAATTAAAACCTAATTCTATGAACAAGAAATTTTCCATATTTATTGTTAAGTTAATGCAGAACCAAGTTCAAGACATCCTTGAATGTTATGAATGCTCAAATGTGTATTTAAGTTTGTATGAATTAGTGCAAGTAACACTGATTCCAAAATGGATATTGCATACTATTTTAAAGATGTTTACCCAAACTCATTGCCAAATTATTGTCTGGAAGAGGATGAGACTATTTTCGTAATTGTGTTAGAAGCACTATCAACACTTCTCTCTTTGTCATGTATAATTAAATCATTTAAAAACAAAATTGACAGACATGGAGTACTATATCCAATTTCTAAAATTTCTATTCTGTTTGAGAGAAATTTTATTTACATAAAGTAGATAAGTACTGCATGATTGCTCAAAAGATTTTATCAGTCTGACAATGATGTACTTTTTGACATCATAAACAAGGTCTGTGTCAGATCGTCAATTGTTTTGTCCCGGTGAAAAGGTGACAAGGTCAAAGGTTCACTTAAATATTGTGATAAAAATCATAGTGCAGTGGTTCAGGCAGTTAAAGAGCAATACAAGTTTGAAGAAAAATACAATAAATAACTCACTTTTTTGTGCCTATTCCTTTGTTTCCCACTAGGTTTTCAAACAGGTATCATAAATAACATTTTGTTAAATGTGGTGTTTTAGAGATGTATTTCATTGTTGAAATTAGCTTTAAATATCTTCCATAGGAACAAGCTTCATAATGTTCTACTTAAATCCCCAACTTTTACGAGAGAAAAAATAACTACAAGTACTTAAATTTAGTAGAACATTTCCTTGGGGGGGGGGGGGGTAGGAATAGAAAGGTTCTAGATACAAAAGTACACCATAGATCAAAAATCTTCTCAGTTTAACAAATATATTGCATGCATGCTGCACTGCTGTTAAAAAAAAAAATTGTCAATGAAAGTTACTGCGATATTAAATGCAATGCGTCATTTTCTGTTCTGTAGATTATTTACAAAATTCAGATATAACTCATTTGAATTGGATTGAAACTAATCATGGGATGTTTTTAAACACAATGGTAAATCAAGACATCTCAAAATGATAAGTCATATCTTCTGTTAAGAGCCAAAATGACATTAACTCTGTATGAAAGGATATGAGTTTACGCCATCTTGGCTCTCATCAGACAATCATGATGAGAACTACTTGCTAACATGACAGTTGAGAAGTGCTTTGTATCAAACCTTTGTGATTTGATGGCTTTTTAATTTTTCTTATTTAATATATCCCTCAAACAAGAATTGGTGTCACTTGTTTGCTAAATCAAGACTTTCATTATGGATCAAGATAACTTGGCTTTAATTCATACTCTCTCAATACTATTTCTTTCTCCCATGCCATTCAGATTCCTTGAAGCTTGAGAACATCCCCAATGGGTCCATCACCAAGAAGCTCCCTCAGCCCCCCACCACACCCACCAGTGACATCCAGACTCCGGAGTCCACCGCCAAGAGCAGTATCGCTTCCAACCGCTCCAAGAGTCCCACGTCCAGTGCTGAGCTGTCCAAGACAAATTCATCTACCCGATCCGCTTCAGAATCCAACTACAATGGTAACAACAATGCTGAGATTGCATATGAGGATGACATTGGCCAGGGGCAAGAGGATGCAGCATCCTCAAGAACATTGGATGTGCAGAGGCCATCACCGTTTGATAGACTCACGGATAGCATCATCACTAATATGTTTTCATACCTATCCACAAAACAATTATGCCGCTGCTCTTGTGTGAGCAGGAGATGGCATAGGTTAGCATGGCAGCCTACGCTATGGACTACAATACAGCTCTCCGGGAGAAGGCTGGATGTTAATTTCGCGTTGAAAGTGCTTGTGAAGCGGTTATCGCGAGAAACGCCGTACCTCTGCCTGTCGGTGGAGAGACTTTTCTTGAATGGGTGCCATAGACTGTCTGACAAGGCCCTGGAACTCGTAGCTCATAGGTGCCCGGAGCTTCTTCATGTCGAATTGATGGGATGCCACCAGATCAGTAATGCTGCCATCTTTCAAATCGTCTCCAGGTGCCCTAACTTGGATTACCTGGACATCTCTGGTAGGTAGAAGGGAAATGAACTAAGTACTGGTTCAAATTCAAAGTAGGGTATCATCAATGGCATATGGGTGTAGATATTGAGGGGGGCAATGGAATCATGGGAAGGGAGAGGTCTCCACCAGCAGATGAAATGAAAAACTACATCGCTACTGATTACACAGAGGTTGTTAGAAAGAGGTGTAACATCTTCTTTTCCTGTCTTACCCCTCTCTCTTTTAAATTTCTTTTTTGTCTTCCCCTTTTCCCCTTTTTTTTCCTTCTTTCTTTTTAATGCAATTTTATTGGGGGAGCATATATGCTGCCTCCCTATAAAATGGAGAGGGAGGGGGGGGGGGTAGCTTTGCCTCTGTTACTCAGCTATGACTTAGGTATCACCAAATGAAAGGGATGAATAAATAATCTGTTTTCTTGAGTGAAATGAAATATAAATAGGGTATTAAATCAAAGAAAATAAAATGTCTTTGTGCCTAACAATAATTGACATTTAATAGTAGTAGTACCATTTCTGGATTTGTAGTTAAAGTCATAACAAGGCTCTGATGCTACCACAAATCACCCCTGTTCATATGTGTCATTCTTACCTGTCAATAAGTTTCTAAAGCCAACTTATAAATTGTTGGAGTATCGACCTTACAATTCTGTGCTAATTTAACTATTTGTAAGCAACAAAAGTAGAATCAGTCGAAGAAGGGGAAATTGAAAGTGTTACATGAATTCCCAAAGGTGATATTGTAGTAGCTAAAAGGGCTACTTACAGTTTAAGGAGATACTTCTAAGCAATTTCCTTCCACATCTCCATATTGAAGGTGAAAGGAGTTTAAAGGATTGAGGTTGCAAATCTCATTCCATCTTTGTAGCTAGATAATGATAAGCTTTGTCACCAAGCTTTGTAACAGTAAGAGATTAACAGCTTTAGTTGTAAAGTAGCTTAAGATTCTAGAGAAAAGGTTAGGGATGAGAGTGTAGTAATCCTAGAAATTCTGTTTTATAACCTTAACTACTTGTAGTGAGGTATACATGTAATCTGCCTTGATCTATTGATGACCCCAAATTTATTTCTACGAAGATGGTGTATGCGGTATTTAGCATTTCTCACAAGTCTTATGGGGATATCTTCAGCTAAAAGTGCAAAAGGGTGAAAGTTTAGTGCTGGTCATCTTCAGTTCATTGCAGGAATGTGAAAATCCTGTTAACTGCTTCATTTCTTTTTCATAGAAACCTAATAATTCCCTCTTAAAATGATCAGATTTGTTCAAATTTGCTTGAGGAGTTAGAAGTAATCGGCTCAAACTGTTGAGTTTGCGGAACTTTGCTTGTTGTAAATTTATGGCAATGTTGCTGGAAGTACACTACTATATTTTATTTATATATGGTTATAACTTTATAATGGACTCTATATCTACAGCAACATAGAGTTTTAGACTATATGTATTCATATTTTCAACATCACAAGAGAGAAATTGATTGTTTGGTGATAATATCAAAGTACATGCAGCACTGTACACTGCAACAAAGAAAGTACAAAATGGTAAATTTCTCTTGTAGTAAGAGATAGATCTGTGTACATTTTACTAGCTGTTCATGTCATATTCAAGATAATTGAATTGTTTCATAATTATATATGTGCACTGTCCAAATCATCAAATGGTGACAGCATAAACATCTTGTAAAAAACTCATGCAAAATGCACTTTATTACTTTCAAATGCATCGATCAACCTCAAATATAGATAATGTAGTCATTTAATGATTAAAATTATTTATGTAGCCAGCAATCTACACTTTGAATTCAATGTCGGCAACCTCAGCATCAATCAACATGATTTTAGACGTAATGGCCATTTAATGAAATAGTCCATGACTCTTTAACTCATTCATGACAGTTGACCACATATTATCACGGAGTAGATTCCTCCATGCAGAAATACAAATGACCAAAACTCCAATTATTGAAAATGAATATTAAAACTTCCATTGAGACATAAGCACCACTCTATTGATAGGCCTGGATTACATTTTGCCTCGGAAACTCGGAAAGTAGATAATTGGCCAAAAATCGGCCAGAATATCAACAGTAGAGAGGATTTGCCAGCTTACAAACTGAAAAGGCATTCATTCAGCTAGTCTACTTGATACTGTGGGTAATCCTAATGGATGTATGAAGGATTTTAATAGTTAATGGTATTTGAAAGTCCCTTTTCTTTCGCAGGATAAATATCTAAAGCATATTTGTAAAATAGTGCTTTCTGTCTAAACCTATTTCACCACTGGATTGACCCTTTTCCTTTTATGGCATATTCCACTGTAGGTTTACTTGGTTACTGGTATGCTATTTTATTGATCACAGCACAGGAGCTTAAAATAAGTGCACAATATACTTCATATATGTCATACTCCATGAGGAAACTGCACTTTTTGTTACTTAACATGCAAATCTTGAAATAGGATACAGTGATGCTATTTTTTTAAGTCTGTGGACTGCATCTTATTGAAATAGCCCGGCCAATCCCTGATGAGGATGAATGATGTATAAAAGAGTGAGCTAGATACTCGTATTGACAACTCAAAAACATATTACTATATGCTGTAATTATCTCCTTGCCATTCAATCCTTCTTGCAATCCATCCAATATTATTGTGTCTACAGAATGAAAATGGTAGGACATGACATAGAAATAAAAATGATATTACTATACAAAATTACACAAAAAAGAGGTCATTCACAAAAGACAATTGAAACTGTAATGCAGACAATCATTTTCTCACAGCAAATAAACTATGTCAGACTTGAGATGATGCTGATTTATATCCTATTATACCTACCCTTAAATAAAGAGATTAAATAGAAGAATTTCCTATGTGGTATCTTTTGGATTTTGGCAGTCTGTATGAAGGCTAGTGAAGGATATTTATGGAAGTGTTGGGTGGGCATAAACATGGATGGATGGGGCTGAACCCTAACCTGAACTTTGATTATGGCCGGTAGGCAAGTAAAACACCCCCAAACAACAGAAAAAAGAAAAACCTTTTGGTGTAGATTACTTCCTTAGATACGATCTTGAAGAACAATATACCATTACCTCCAGACCCAGAGGGAAGGGCATTGTAATCCTATACACACCAACTGGCATTATTGAAGCTTCCACTATCGATTTGGATATTTTGGTCGAAAACACGGCTTCATTAAAGGAGCTTTTGGGGAAACCTACAGATTTGGGGAATTTGTAATCTAAACTAAAAGAAATTGGTAATTTCCAGAGAGGTTGATGATTAAGGCTGTGAAGGGTAGTCAAATGCTCGAGTACCCGCACGGTTGACAACTACTCGGGTACGATTTCTCGTACCCGAATATTCGGCCGCAAAAAAAAAAAAAAATTAAATGTCCAGGCCGACGCTTACCCGTGCCTGGGTGAGCGGCGGCCGCTGGCATGGTGCCGTCGGTAAAAATGTTTCCCAACTAGCTGGGACCAAATGTCTGGATTTCTACTTGGAGGAAAATGGATTATTCTGCCATCTTTGGTTTTTAAAACAGCATTGTTCACTGTTATTATTATTATTAAATCGGCGCCTTCAACTGCAACTCAAAGTAAAATTGCATGCGTTTTCGGCGACAGAACTGGGATACTGCTCCAGTTGTTGTTGTTGTTGTGTTTTGAGTTATTGGCGATTAGTCAGTGATTTGAATATTGTCGCCAAAATACTTTACGGCCGCAGTGGTATGTATGGTGGTGGCAAAAAAAAAATAATAATAAAATAAAAATAAAATTAAAAAAATTTAAAAAAATAATTTTTTTTTTTTTTTTTTTTTTTAAATTAAAAAAAAACATGGCGTCCGAATACTCGAGTATTCGCTTGTAAGCATGGGAGTGTACTCGGGTACCTCATTACACTGTTGTGCACAGCCTTATTGATGATTGTCCGGATATCAAGGATTTGATGTGCATTAGAGTGTTTCGTTTTCACTTTATTCACGAAATGTGTACTATTATTGAGGGAAAGAAGCTGGGCATTTTGACATTGACATTTAAGGATGGCACAGAATTCTGTGAATGGTAATTCTAATGATAACTATACTTATTACGAATCTCAGTGATTAGAAATCCTTATGGTACAGAGTCATAAATAGATCCTGCATTTCAGCAATTTTAGACAGATCATAAACAAAGGAGAATTTACCTAAGTATTAATTTTGAACTGTTGCTAGGAATAAACTTCTCACCATAATACTTTCATTGTTTTGACTCATGATTCTAGACTGTACTTAAATCCTTCTTGATGTTTTGATTTCCTTTTGCTTCCACACATTTTCAGGTTGTAAGCAAGTAGACTGTATGAACCTTCCTGTGGAGCCTGCCTACTCAGATCCCAAGGATTTCTTAAAGCAGCGGATCAATCTACGCCATCTGGACATGTCTGACTGTTCTCTGCTGGATGACAACGGGCTTCGGACGATAGCCACCAACTGTCCGACTCTGGTCAACCTTTATCTCCGAAGGTGCGTCGGAGTGACTGATATCGGTGTGCAATATGTAACCACTCAGTGTCTCATGCTAAAAGAAGTCTCTCTCAGTGACTGTCCGCGAGTCACTGACTGCGCCATGAGGGAACTTGCCAAGCTGGAGTACCATCTGAGGTACCTCAGTGTGGCTAAATGTGAACTCATCACAGACATGGGTGTGTATGCCATAGCCAAGCATTGCTACAAGTTACGTTACCTGAATGTCAGGGGATGCGTATTGGTGTCCGACAAATCCCTGGAGGCCCTGTCGAGAGGGTGCCCAAGACTCAGATCGCTGGATGTTGGCAAATGTCCGCTGATCACGGATCATGGCTTGGTATCCATAGCAACAAACTGTCAGAGCTTGAGGAAGTTAAGTCTGAAAGGCTGCTTACATGTGACTGATCAGGTGATCGAGGTCTTAGCGCAAGTCTGTCCTGATCTTCAGCAGCTGAATATTCAGGATTGTGATGAGGTGTCCAGAGAGGCTTATAGACTACTCAAGCGATGCTGTCGCAAGTGTATCATAGAGCATACCAATCCAGCTTTCTATTAATACCTTCCTATCGTCCTTGTGAAGTTCTTACTTAAGCAAATATCTTGAAGTATTGTTAAACTTATCACACCACTCTCATTTCTTCTTTGCCAAAATATAATTTGAAAGGTCCGTTGTTTACTAGAGGTATAATGTTTCAATAATAAATTTGGCATTGGTTCGGCTACCTAGATAATAAGATTTGATACTTATCCATTAGAATGTAAGAAATGCATTCTATCAAGTTGTAACAAATTATTCCAAAAAAAGATTTCTTTAGAAACAATTGTTAGTACACCAAAGAAAATCAACTGAATTGATATAAGAAGCTGTAATCAAATTGAGGCTTTATTTACCCCCCCCCCCCCATAAATCAGTCATTTTGTTATGGACAAATTTCACAATATAGAGGATCATTAGATTTCTAAATCACTAAACAAAAAGTTAAGAGAAAGAATGTTTGCTTAATTAGTGTTTCCCTCTATCAATTCTGGCTTATACAGTAATACTTCTGAAAGGAGAAATTTGTTATATATTTTACACAGATGAAAAACATATCCTGTTCACCTGTGAACTTCTGTATGGAGTTGCTTCAAATATCATTATTCTATTGATTATAGAATTGCATATTCTCTGCTGTATATGTCTGAAATAACTATGTAATGATGTAATGAGAGAATACAATTAAACTCCTTCTTCTGTTTATTCTTCTTACCATTTCTATCATTCCATTTGAACATGAATATATAAATGTGTTCACGGATATTGATATATGACTTTCTGATCATTCTATTCAACAAATCAACGGTGCTTGCCATGTATACCAAATGATAATACAGTATGTTAGATCTATTTGTAATCATGTAGTGGGTCTTTTAAGGAGCTTACTTTGTATATTTTAAGCAGTGTGGTCATTTATTTTATCAAATCTAACTTATATTCGGGTGTGTGTCAAATGTATTGTAGTCACTGTCATGTTATCTTTTATGAATTCCTTTGGAAGGGCCTTTAATTTGAATATTGGATAGAAAAAAAGAGCCTTGTGGTCAATTTTATTATTTTTCTCTAGTTCTCATAAAATTTTCTTTCCTTTGCTGCCATTCATACAATGGAGATGAGTGGATAACCTCAACATTCCATATACTGGTATTGTTACAAATGAGGTAACTGATTTTTTCTTCAAAAACAAATGTTATTTGATTCATCTTGTATCCATTTGCTACAGCAAAAGGATTTCATTGTGTCATTCTTAAACAACTCCAGAAGATAATCATGAATGTGTCTGGTGGTATCATAAAGCTCTAGCGAATGTCTTTTCTTGGGCAAGTAGGGAATTTTGAAGGGGTGCTTAGTCTTGAAAAACTTTGTTTTGTATTCTGTATGGGATGTGCAGCTTTTCCTTTATTCTATGCCTTGTATGCACACTGGCTTTTAGAAATGAACCATCTGTTTGTATGGATTTTTTTCTTTAAGTGTAGATACTACTCCATTATTATTCCAGATTTTTTTTTAATGTCTCATATTAAAAATTTGCAGAAAGTACAAAATAAAACCAGGTATTTCTTATTCTTTTTAAATACATCGTGGAAAGTTTGAAACTGACAAATTGTACTTCCTTGTATTCCCACAATTCTACAAAGTATGCAATAATAATCCATAAAGTTACATGTATTCAGTGATAATCAAGGAAATAGTGGTGTAATTGAAAAGCAGATGAAATAGTTTGATATGGGGGGGGGGGGGGTGACACTTCAGACAAACTGGACATAGCTATCTTGATCAGTAATTTTTTTTTGTACAGAAATGTGTCTGCTGATGTAACATGGACTTGTCATGTCATGTTATGTTGTTGCAGCTGCAGGAGCAAATCTAAGTGATACAAAATATGCATTTTATAACCATTTTTTTTTTTAAATTCAAAAATTGCACAACTGTTGAAATGTCACCATAGATGTTGCATCTCTTCCTTGGTATAGATATAAAAAGATGTCAAGATTTTTGAGATTCCACCACCATTGTAAATTCAAAACTTTAAAAGTGAATTTAGTGTGATATCGTCTTCCTGATCAGCAGCAAACTATTAACCCTCCAAATTCATGCTATACTGATATGATGACGATGATAATAATATCCATTTTAGGCTCGGCCATGTATCCTGTATGCCGGTATAGCCATGCAACTGCAGAGCATGTGATATATTTTGTTTCATATATGCATTTTCTAAAACATAAAATCCCACCTGTCATTTTTCTTCCCGTTACTGAGGTGTATTAACAAGATTTGCTGCATTTTAACCATATATTCCATGTGTGGAGGTCACTTTTAAAAGGTGTTGAACACTAAATTGTACTCCATTTTTTAAAGTCAAGACTTAAAACCTTAAGTCTAACATATGAAGCTGATTATACACATTTGAAATGTGATAATTTGTTCAGACAACAAAATTTGTGAGGACAATTTGTGCTTCAATGTAGTTATAAATCTACATGTATGTGTAATTAATTTCTAAATTGTAAAAAATTATGTTTCAAATTGGTGTATTTATTTGGTAAATCTTTGTATGTGCTGCTTTCTTTTTTCTCTCCGTCCTTTCTCACATGTGCAATCCCCTTCTTATTCATATCTTGTTTTTATTTTAAAAGAGATTTTATATAAGAGTTTACTGTTCTACTGGCCCCCATAGTGGTAATGAATAGCACTGATAGAACATAGAAGAAATAATTGAATTATGATTATTGTTAAATATGATAATTGAAGATGAAGAGAATCACTTCAAGTCCATTGATCTGTACAAGAAAAAAGTAGATCGCAGTAGAATTCAGAAAAACATTTATTAGTCTTGTTTCTTTTGCTTTATTGGCAAGCTTTAAACGTACAATTTCATGTAGAATACTATACATTTATCATGTATATTTCCTGCATTTTTATGCAAAACTCCTTTAAAAAAAAATTGAAAACAAAAACTTTTTTATATTTTGATTGGTTTTCCAATGTTTTTGCATAATTATTTAACTACCCCTATTCAAATGATTTTTTTTAATGAAATTATCGAATGAAAATTTTCCAAAAACAAAATCTTCATCTGTTATGTAATTGCTTCCAGAGGGTCAGTCAATCAAATATCGTTTGTGTAAAATAGAAAATAATCTTTCATCTCTTCATTAATAGTTTAGGACAGTTTAGGAAGATGAAAATTACTTTATATGGAAAGATTTTTTAGTTATATTTTTCATGGTCTGAGAGACTTTTGACAATCATGTAAACCTGTGGCACATGTAAAGTATCAGAATGTGTGTTTGTTTTTTCTCCAAACATTACATCTGAAATATCATTATCCATAGATCTGCACTCTATTTCTCTGTTTTGCTGCATTTCCATTCCATTTCAAGTTTCAAATAGGGCATGCTTCCTAGGTGGCTGGGTTAACATTTTATTTAAAGGTGATGGCTTGAACTTGCAATGTTAGTTTTTTAAAGGAGTTTATTTTTTCCATTTCATTCATAGACAATCAATTTTTTTTGCTTTAATTTTTGAGCAGTAAAGACTCTTCAGCTGTTTATCACATATACATGTATATGAGCATGAAGTGTGGAGTAGCAATATTTCACACAAGTATTGGTACATTTATTCAATGGTAAAGAATGGTCTTCTATCTGAAATAATTGTACCCTACATTTTATATAGTGCAAACTTATTTTAAAGATAGAGCATACACATTTTGAATTTTAGCCAAAAACAGTATGTATATGATTATTACGATGGAGTCATGCCAAGAAATGATTTGTCAGTTTCTAGTACCAGGTAAAATAAGTTGAATTTTAAAAGTTTTTTTTTTTAACAGATCATGTATTCCAGCAAAAGATTATCTTTTAAGGCTCTTACAGCCTGCCTCGAAACTGAACAATACCTATATTGGTGCATTATGAACAAAGAAACCTTAACACTTTTATAATTTCTATCTGTAACCTGAAACGGATGGCTCAAGACCAAGGAACTTGGAGAGACACTTGATAAAGAATTTTGATTGGGTCACTGGACATGTCATAAACTGACAGATCACTATTGATGATGATCTGTAACCTATCCATGTTTATGTATGGATAATTAAGAACAGTAAATTTACATCCAATGGTATAATTATTGCTGGTCAGTGATGAGACCCACCTAGTTGAATTTGGAAATAACTGTTCATTACTGGTATTGAGATATCCAATGGAAATGCATGTCAAATTGATTTTATGAATGCAGTTTAATAGTAAAATGTGATTAAAATAAAGCGTTTGATCAACAATTGTTAGGAGCATGACTTTTCAACTTCTGTTTTGAGAAAGTTTACTTTATTTTTCTCTATTTCATTTGTTTAGAACTGAGCTTTATCCTTTCTGTGTATGTTCTCTTTTTGTTTTGTTAAAAATGTGTGTAAATGTATATACCAGTTGTTAATAATATAACTCATCCAGGCAAAATATGAATTATGTATAACATTGTTCTGCAGCTTTGCTTGTCAATGATAAAAATATGTATAAGTGAGAGTGAATGGATAAACTATTTCATGATGGAATGAAATATAAATGCAAAAAAGTAAATTCAGGCTGAATTGTTATTTATGGTGTACTTGTATTATTATTATTATTATTTTTTTTTTTTTTTTTTTTTTGGGGGGGGGGATGGTATAGGATTGAAAATATATTATCTCATAGGGGTAAATGAATCCTTAAAAAACAAGGGCTAACCAGAAGAGGGGAATTAGTATTTTACTAATGGCATGGCTGCCATAGGTGAACAAGGCAGGAGGAAGAGAAGGGGGGGGGGGGGGGGGTCTGCAGCCCACTTGAATTTTGAAATGATCAAAATCCTGGCAGCCATTACATCATATTCAGGCATTATATTGCTACATTATAAAACCAAGCCCCAATGTGTATGTGGGAACAGGTGGCTTTCAATAAATGGAAGTTAAATGTAGGACCAAGTCTAATGTGTTTTTTTTAAAGGGAGGAGGGGTACAAACATTTTTTTTACAAGAAGCAAACAAAACAACAAAAACAGGTTATCAAGTTGTCTTGGTGCTTTTAGTGTTAACCATTTTTTAAAGGGGGCACATTTTGTGTACTAAGGGTATCAAAGGGGAGGGGCCCGGGGGTCTCCCCTAAATTTGCCAATTCTATAAAGCATCCCTCTCCCCCTTATACAA